AGTGACAGATGTTATGAACTGACAGCAGAATCGAGGGCTGGCACTGAATATCTGTTTCAGTGTCTGTACGGAGCCTGGCACCAAACAGCAGTAGTCATCCACGAGAGCCCTGGCAAGTCTTACACAGTAGACCACAGGTGTCCGCTGGAAAGAAGACACAGGCCACGTAACTACAAGTGTGGTGACCCAGCAGGCAGCAACTATGTACAAATGCTGAAGACCACCAAAACTAGCAGAACCACTTCCAGGAGAAATGTTAACAGCTTCTTTTAGTAATGTAAAGTCCACAGACCAAATCTGCCCCTCTACCCACCTTTGTGAATTAAGTTTTACCAAGATGTGGCCATGATCATTTGTTTGTCCACTGTTTAAGGCTGCTCTTCCACTACAAGGGCTGAACAGAACTGAACAGCTGCGACAGAGATAATATGATCTGCAAAGACTAAAATGTTTGCCAAAAACATTTGCTGGATCTTGCTTCAAAGTTTACTTAGGAAAGATCACTTGACCTCAGGTGAAGAAATGACAACTCTTACAATGTTAAATGTTCCAGGTGACACAACGCAGGTAAAAATTCACAGCTGCTACCACTTTGAAAAGATTTATGAGTCTGAGAACCCACATGATTAAAATGTCTGTTTAGAGCAGCAATTTGCATATTCCTCTTATAATCCTCTTCTTTTTGACGTATTTCTACAATACTGTTGAATCCTATATCACCACTCTCCCCCGGCATTCTCCCTCCAGGTATGTGTCTATCAGTAGCTCTGGTCACATTTAGCAGCTGCTCATTATGCAGCAGCTCCAGGGCACTAACTGGGCCTACAGCAGAAACTCTAAGGAGACAGCAAGGTCAGATTGTTTATTTGGCCTGTCCTCTGCCACTAAGAACACTGATATCTCCACCTGGCCTCAAGAGAAAGCTAAAGCCCCTAACCCCAGGTAGCAACCCTGACCCAAACCACCAAGATCTTTTTGTTGACATCTGCTTTCATTTTATCAAAATGCCAGCACATCATCATCAAAAGACATCAATGAAAAACTAGAAGATGCTAAACTTGGTTTCAATAGATTGTCAAGGGATAAAGGGAATCCTGAGATTAAATATAATATTAATGATTAATTTGGATGTCCCAGAAATTGGACTGGCGAGAATTAAGGTATAAACTTCACTGAGATTCTCTAGTGTACTACAAATAATATGATTTTGTTAGCCAAATTTTATGCATAAACAAGATTATAAGAAAAACTATTAATTAAATTGGGAAAAAAACAGATTTTGGGGCTGAGATGTGCCTCAGTGGTAGAGCACTTGCCTTGCATGGGCAAGAACCTGGATTCAATCCCCAGCACCTCAAAAGTTTTTTTATTTTCAAGTATTGGGAATAAAGCAGGTTTATGAAACTGATAAATTGTTAACTTGGCTAAGGAATAGATTAGTCAAAAATTTGGTCAATAACTAAGTAGATTATTAATTTTTTAGACCCTGAGAAGCAAAAAAAGCAAAACAAATGAATTTCCCAAAATATCACCTAGCACTAAACCTATTGTAAATATATACTTTTTCCTTTGATATGTCCATTTGAAGGGCTATCAACTATGTGATGTCACCCTAGAGCTATGCAAAACAATTCACCTGTTTACTGACTACAGAAAAGTACTACCTTCTAACAGTGGGTAAACATTTGTACAACTTAACATATAGTGATATTAAAAAAAAAATCCCTTTTTTGAGACTCCATAATACTATTTTCATTTATAATTTTCCTCTAAGAGGAGCATGGGACGATTAGATAAATTCTAGATAGGGAAGAGGGGTGGGAGGGAAAGGGAGGGGTAGGGGATTAGCAAGGGCAGTGGAATGTGATGGACATCATTATCCAAAGTATATGTATGAAGACTCGAATTGGGTGTCAACATACTTTATATATAAACAGATATGAAAAATTGTGGTATATATGTGTGATAAGAATTGTGATGCAAAAAAAAAAGTACATGTATAAAGGCATGAATTGGTGTGAACATACTCTATATACAAAGCTATGAAAAATTGTACTCTATATGTGTAATAAGAATTGTAATGCATTCCACTGTCCTGTATTTTAAAAAGTAAAAATCAATAAAACTAAAACAAACAAACAAAAAACAACAACAACAAAAAAACACATTGAAAAAAAAATTTCCCCTAAGAATGATTTTTCACTTGTTCTAAAGATGAGGCCTTTTTTTCTTCATTAGAAAAAAAATTAACTTGCCATTACAAACTATTATGTCCCCAAGAATTGTCATGCTTTGAAAATAAAAACAGGATAGGAATACAGCTATGAGTATCAAGGGCAGTAATGATTAAGAACATGATATGTGTGAAAAGACCTCCCCAGTGATTCAGTTAAATTAATGACCCTGATAGTAAACAACAGGTAAACATTTGTACAACTTAACATTTAATGATCTTAAAAAAAAAATTTTTTTTTTGAGACTGTATGTTATTTTCATTTATAATTTTCCCCTAAGAATGATTTTTCACTTGTTCTGAAGAAGATTTTAGGAACTCTGGAGAGCGTACCTGGAGCCAGGAGGCTGCACACTCCAACACTGGAACTCGACACACAGCCACCGCCATGGACACCAGTTTTCCCAACAGGCTCATCCGGCTGTCATCGGCTTTGTTCCCCTGAGGGCTGAAAAGTGATGAGAAAATAATCTGCCGCACAGAGTCCTTGGTTTGCTCCTGGAAATAATTGCACATGATTTCAAGAAGCTGAAGCTCCTGAAGTGAATTCAGTCTCTGTAAAACAAACCCGGGACAAGCTATAAGAAATGTGGCTTTCACATACCCGTTAGTTCACCCGGTGAGAAACCAGGAACTACCATTAGTTACCCCAGGATATTTTTCGCCCCTCTGAATCCCGGGTCCTGGGGAGCGGAACGCTACTGCCAAGCTCAGGAAAAAGTCATATCTCATCAAGTATCATCTCGGAGGCCACACAGTTTTAGACTCTAGGTAACAGGCCTTTAGCGAGGTAAGCGGACAGTCCCCGAAGTCTCATCCCAGAACACTTCTGAGCCGGACTGTCACACGCCTGCAAAACAGGCACGCGGTTGAGCAATGCTGCAGGACTGCAGGGTAGGGGGCTGGGGTGGGGGTGGGGGTGGGCCGCTGCAGGAGCAAGGCCAAGGGCGAGAACCCAGCAGCCTGGCAACTGCTTGTCACCGAGGGGAAGGGCACGATCGGGCAGGCACCTTGGGCTGCGCGCCGCGCTCCTTGGGCACCTGGAACACGAACTCCTCCAGCAGCTCCACGGGGCCCTTGTCCACGATGGGCAGCGGCGCGCTCTGCAGCTGACTGCTGAAGTAGATGTCCAGGTGGTACAGCACCTCCTTAGCTGCGCTCAGGGCGTCGCGGCGCAGCAGCGAGTGGCGGATGTCGCTCATGGTGCGGTGGCTGTGGCCCAGCACCCGCGCGTCCCACTTCCGCCCGGCAGCCGGGGACGCGCTGCCGCCTGTGGAGACAAAGAGGCGCGACCCGGCCTCCGCCCCGACCCGGGCCGAGCAGCGGCGCCCGCCCGCCCGCCACTACCTTCTGCCGGCCCGCTCAGGGGGCCATCGCTCCCGCCACCGGTGGCCAGCGGGCGAACGGGGTCCGACTGCCGGGCCGCACAGAGCCGCGGGAGCCGACGCTGCGCAGCCGAACGGCGGCGGAATGCCGGGCGACGACGGCGGCCCGCAGGGGCCACGTGAAGTCTGCGGCCGCGCACGCTCCAGAGGGCGCCCCCTGGTGGCGCAGCCCGGGCAGTAGGCGGGAGGGGCGTCGCGCAGCGGAGGCAGACCCCGCCCCTTTGGAGACCGCCTCCTGTCGTGAGCGCGTGGTAAGAGCCGCCACACCCTCCCGGGAGTGCGTCTTGAAACTTTCCCAGGAGTCCTCCTGCTCTTAGTGGAAAAGTGCTTTCCACCAGCAAGGATAGGGCAGTAGTACAGGGCTTTGGGTTGGGGGCCAGTGGACTTGGGTTTCTCCCTGCCCCAGCCATTAAAGTTTCATCTTTTCTGAACCCACTGGCTGCCAGGACAGGTGATGCTGGTAAGGGCATTCCCCTACCCTTTGTCTCCTACCACTCCTTCTGGCCCCAGGGTCTCTATTCCCCAGTCCTCTCTAGACGCCTGGCCTCTGTAGCTGCTGGCTTCTAGATGTAGCCTGGCATTTGGGTGGCTTGCAAAGTCTAGCCCAACTGCCTCCTGCTTCTGAAAAACCTCTCACCCTAAAACCCATCAGCACTTTATATGAACCTCTTTTCTGGCATCCATCTCTTTGCATTGAACTAGTCACCGTTTTACTTTTGGAATTTTAAAACAAGGCAACAAAAGCTTGAATATGGCCAGAAGCCAGTGGAGAGCAAGGCCGGAGGCCACAAGTACAGGAATGTGAGTAAAGGCCTATGTGCTGGCTGAAGGCAGGTCTGAGTGAGGATGTGAATAAAGCAAGAAAATGCCCTGGCTGGGAGGGACAGACTAGGGAAGGGCATAAGAGAGGGCACAACTAGGCATAATCCCAAGACACTGAGTCACTGAGACCCCTGCACACCTGGGTGCAAGGCTGTACAGCCCCTCCTTGTTCACATACCTAGACTGTAGAGAGGTCTCATTGTCACCTGGAACCTCAGAGAAGTCATCTCTTGACCCTGACACCGGGACCGGAGGTGCTCAGTGCCAGCATAAGATGAGCAAACAGGATATCTGCCACAGCAGCTGGCAAAGATCAGGCACTCAATAAACATGAGTTTTCCCTTCCCCCCTGAAAGCCCATGTATACACACAGCACAGACCACAACAGCTGATTAATAATCACAGCAGAAAACAAAACAATGCTGAGAAAATAAGTATCCATATGTATAAATAAAGGTGTGTACATCTAAAAGGCAGGAGTATTCTTTCCATTCTTATTTCTTCTTCCTCTCATAATATGGAACAGCAGGTAGAAAGATTTCTCGGAGGTTGCTCCAAAGCCCGTGGGAATGAATGTTCTGGTAGATTTGAGGCTCTGCTGATGGGGGCCGGACCACCACAGGACAGAGTTGGCACCAGGCCCAGTCACCTTTGTACCACTCATTTGTGGTCTGGTTGGTGGCTGCCAGGTACAGAGCAAAGCACAGGTAGCCCCCCAGGAGGAAGCTCAGCACCGTAACAAAGCCGAGCAAGAAGACAATCCTTGGAAATGTCAGGAACAGGTACTAAGGGCAAAGAAGATGCAGAATGTTAGGAAGAAAACGGTGACATCCATGAAGGTCAGCACCCACTAGCCCAGATCTGGTCCATGAACACAACAGAGCCACAACCTCAACTCATCTACATGTGTCTAAATATAACCCACTGAGCCATAATCAGCACCCACAAATAGCCCAGGAATCACCCTGATGTGCAAGCATTTACTCTGGAATGAATCAAGTATTCATACTGAGGGAAAGACTATCCAGGAAATGGAGCTGTGGCAATTGAAAATTTACAAACACAGACCTTAGTTCATGAACCAAAATAAAACCCAGATGAACAAGAGAAACCAATGTCTATCTGAAAACAATCTGACCGCAAAAATACATGTACTAGAATATTCACTATGGTACTGATTCTAACAGCCTGTCTTCCCAAAAGAAACATTAATATTCCTCTACAAGGAAGAGCAAAATAAACTCTGGGATAGTTACCACTATGGAATAATAAAGAGTCATTGAAAACCAAGGTAATTTCTATGTACTGATTTTGAAAAGATTATGATATATTGCCCAATGAGAAAGGCAAAGTTCAAGGATCACATTTTAATCTTTTTTTTTTTCACCACTGGATTGAACCCAGTGGTGCTCTATCACTGAGCTACATCCCCAACCCTTTTCATTTGAGACAGGGTCTCACTAAGTTGCCCAGGCTGGCCTCTAACTTTTGATCCTCCTATCTCTGCCTCCTGAGTTGCTGGGATTACAGGCATGTGCCACTCCACCTGGCCAAATTGTAATCTTTTTTGTGTAAAGACACTCAGTAAAACAACTGACTCTGTGAAGGTATATAGCCAAACAAATAAACAGAAAAAGGCCTAAAAATATACATACCAATTTTCAAAGTGTTTGCCTCTGGGAAGTGCAACTGGGACTGGGGGAATGGATAACTCTCACTTTTCATTTTGAAAATAGCTTTTGGATTACTCAAATTCATGTAAGTTACTTTTCTAATAAGCAGGATAGAGAACTTTAAAAAGTTCTGAAAGAAGAAAACAGAAGTAGACATTCATCAAAACTCTTGATGAGGGAGACTTCCTAACTGAAGCTAAAAGAGAAGACACAGATCAGATGAGGAAGGATGAGCTTTTTAAAGGAATGATTTCAATCCTTATATTAAGGTAAATGAATTTTGACTGAAGCGCTGAAATAATTGAAAAAGTTCATTTTTTCAACAAATGCTGTTGGGACTACTGGATTTCTATATACTAAAGAATGAAGTTAGAAGTGGGCACAGTGACTCAGGAGGCTGAGACAGGAGGATCCAAGTTCAAAGCCAGCTTGGATAACATACTAAGAAACTGTCTCAAAATAAAATAAATCTTTAAAAAATGGCTGGGGTCAGGGCTGGGGATATAGCTCAGTTGGTAGAGTGTTTGCCTAGCATGCACAAGGCCCTGGGTTCAATCCCCAGCACCATAAAAAAATAAATAAAAAATATGGCTGGGGCCAGGCAGGATGTCCCATGCCTGTAATCCCAGCAGCTTGGGACACTGAGGCAGGAGGATTGTGAATTCAAAGCCAGCCTCAGCAACTTAACAAGGCCCTAAGCAACTCAGCAAGGCCCTAAGCAACTCAGCAAGACCCCATCTCTAAATAAAATACAAAAATTGGCTGGGGACGTGGCTCACTGGTTGAGTGCCTCTGGGTTCAATACACAGCACCCCACCCCAAAGGAAAAAAACAAAGATACATTGAGCTTCATTAATATAAAACCTTTTTCAAAACAACAACAAAAACTGTCAAAAAAGTGAAAAGACAACCCATGAACAGGAAGAAATATTTGATAATCTATTCATATACCTGATAATAGTCTAGAATAAAGAACTCTTTTTAAAAAATATTTATTTTTTTAGTTGTTTAGGTGGACACAATATCTTTATTTTATTTTTATGTGGTGCTGAGGATTGAACCCAGAGCCTCATGCATGCTAGGCTAGCACTCTACCCCTGAGCCATAACCTCTGTCCTAGAATAAAGAATTCTTACAATAATAAAAAGGCAAAATTTTTAAATGGGTAAAGGTTTTAAGTAGATATTTCTTCAAAGAAGATATACAAATGGCCAACAAATACATGAAAAGATACTCAACATCATTAGTCATTAGAGAAGGGCAAATCAAACTGCAATGAGATACCACTTCAATGTCCATCAAGATGGCTACAGTAAAAAAAGACAGGTGTGACTACATGCACTTGTGATCCCAGTTACTCAGGTGGCACTTAGGCAGGAGGCTCTAGAGTTCAAGGTCAACCTCTATAACTCAGTGAGAGCTCCTTTTCAAAACAAACAAACAAAAAAAAAAAAGTTTTTTCTTTTTTTTTTTAAAGACAGAAAATAAAAAGTGTGAAGAAACTAGAACCTTCATACTCAACTTCTGGGAATGTAAAATGGTACAGACACTTTGAAAAAGAGTCAGTTCTTTAAATGGTACTATATGACCCAGCAATATATTCATATAAATTATCTCCACATAAAAACTTGTACAGAAGCATTTTTCAAAAAATAGCCTCAATGTGGAAACACCCAAATATCCATCAACTTATGAATAAATAAAATGTGGTATATCTACAATGTAATATTATTCAGCCATAAAAAGAAATGAAGTACAGATTTATGCTACAACATGGATGAACCTTGAAAATATTATGCTACTAAAAAGAAGTCAGTCAAAAAGGCCATGTATATGAAATGTCCAGAAAACAAATTTATGAAGACAGAAAGTAGATTTACAGATGCCAGGGTCTAGGGGAAGACAGAAGAGGGTGTTTCTTTTGGGGATAATGAAATGTTCTGAAATGATATAGTGGTAATGGGTGTAAAACTCTGTGAATATACTAAAACCACTGATATATTTTGAAGAGTGGATTTTATGGTATGAGATTTTATGTAACTTTTTTTTTTTTTTGGTACTAGGGATTGAACCCAGGGGCACTTAACTGAATCACATCCCCAGCCCATTTTTATTTTGACACACAGTCTTGCTAAGTTGCTTAAGGCCTTTGTTAAGTTGTTGAGGCTGGCTTTGAACTTTCTATCCTCCATCCTCAGCCTCCTGAGCTGCTGGGATTATAGGCATACGCTACTGAAACTGGCTGTATCAATTTTTAAAGAAAAACAACATCTTCGTATTTTCACTGGGAAAAGAAACATCATTTTTACAATTCTGAAACCAGAATTCAGAGAGCCACTGCATAATTACCTGAATAAGAAAGGCTGTGTCCACAGCCTGGGAATGTCCAAGGTCATCGATGTAAGTTTCCTGGTAGAGGTCTGACATTGTCACCAGGCAGACCAGAAACATGGTGCTTATAATGGCCATGATGGCAGCTGACGCAGTCAACGTCAAAAGGTAGATGAGGAAGTACCTGGTATTCCAGGCCCCGATGCAGGTGTTCACCCAAACACAGTGATGGTCAAAACGGTGCACACACCAATTACACACACCTGCATGGAGAAGAGGGAGCCACAGACTGAGTTTGTCCTTGATGAGACATGACACCATGTGCACTTTTACAAGGTGACCAATGGCAATAAGAGTGTGTGGAGGAAGGTGGGGCAGTGGCAGTTGCTATCACCAAGCTTTTAGAACCATAGAGTCCACTACAGTAGCCACTAGCCACATGTGGGTATGGAGCACTGCAATATAGTTAAAAGAAAAATATGAAAGAATACTTTGTCAATATTGACAATTTTACAGTTGTTTGCAATTTATACAATACTATTTTGAATTCAGTGTGAATAATTCTGAGGTAACATGAGAGGTGGTGAACTTACTTAACATGAACAGGTATAGTTTTATTTATTTTTGCAGTGCTGGGGAATCAAACCCAGGGCTTTGTGTTTGACAGGTAAGCATTCTACCACTGGGCCACATCCCTAGCCCCAAATATAATTTTAAAACTGATGGCTTTGGACTGAATTGTGGCTCAATGGTAGAGCACTTGGCTGGCATGTGTGAGGCTCTGGGCTTGATCCTCGGCACCGCATATAAATAAAAAAATAAAGTAAAAGATCCACTAAAAAAAAACAAAAACAACTGATGGCTTTGCTTTAAAATCAAGTCAGTTCTTCTGATAAAGATGAACCATTTAGTCAATGTAGATTTTCACAGTAAAATAAAATGTTTTGGTACTTAATTCACTTATTGGAAAACTTTTAAGAGTGTCTGGATATAGTATAAGTGTTTAAGTCTACTCTTTCAACTATAAATTTTATGAAATCTAAATACAGGTCAAGAACTTCCAATGAGAACTTAGTACCTGAATGGATATGTGCTATAAAAGTAAAATACACCAGATTTCAAAGACTTAGTATGAAAAAAAGAACACAGCTAGGTGCAGTGGCCCTGCCTAATCTTAGCAGCTAGAAAAGCTAGGCAGGAGGATTACAAGTTTGAGGGCAGCCTCATCCATTTAGCAAGACCCTGCCTCAGGAAAATAAAAAAAGTAAAAAGGACAGGAGACAAAGCTCAAGTGGTAAAGCACCCGTGGATTAGAACTCCAGTACTGGGAAAAAATTAAAATAAAAAATAAATTTAAAGGGCTGGGGTTGTGGCTCAGTGGCAGAGCACTTACCCGGCATATGTGAGGCAATGAGTTCATCTCAGCACCACATATAAATAAATAAAATAAAAGTCTATCAACAACAACAACAACAAAAATCTTTTAAAAAATAATAAATAAATAAATTTAAAAACGGACTGATGCTGGGCGTGGCAGATCACACCTGTAAGCCCAGCAGTTGTAGGATCATGAGTTCAAAGTCTGCCCCAGCGGTTGGGGATGTGGCTCAAGTGGTAGCGCGCTCACCTGGCATGCGTGAGGTACTGGGTTCCATCCTCAGCACCACATAAAAATAAAGTAAAGCTATTGTGTCCACCTAAAAATACTAAAAAAAAAAAAAAAAAAAAAAACTGTCCCAGCAACTTAATGAGGCCCTGTCTCTAAATAAAATATGAAAAAAGGGCTGAGGATGTGGCTCAGTGGTTCAGGGCCCCTGAGTTCAATCTCCAATACAAAAAAAACAAAACAAAAAAATGGGTGGGAGGGGAAGAAGGTGCTGGGGATGTAGCTCAGTGGTAAAGCACTCCTAGGTTCAACCCCCAGTACCAAAAAACAAAAAGGAAAAACATAAATTACCTCATGAATATTTTTACATTGATTACACATTAAAATTGTATTTTATTATTTTTTAAAATTTTTTAATTTGTTACACATGATAGTACAATGAACAAAATTGTATTTTAGGCCTGGGGCTGAGGTAGAGCTTAGCGGTAGAGCACCTGCATGACATGTATGAGGTCTGGGTTCAATCCCCAGGGCCACCAAAAAAAAAAAAAAAAAAAGATATTTCAGGACATGGGTTTAAATAAAATATGTGATTAAGTAATTGCTTCTTTTGCAATAAGGCTACTAGAAAATTTTAAACCACATATGTGACTCATGTAATATTTTTGTCAGATAGGAAACAGCCTAGAACCTTAGGCATTCCCTAGAATACTAGGCTTAGCTAGGGCTAAAATCTGCACACAGCAGACCATAAAAGCATCTCTCCCATAGCAAAAGAGAGCTATTATGCCTAGGGCTGAGGATGGCCACTGTGCAAAAACATACAACCTTACCCTCAAGTCATTTGAAAGAAACCACGATCTGGCCTCCAACAGAAGCAGACAACCCACATGTAGGAATCAAATGGCTGTCTTTTTAGACTCATGAAATACCACCTTACAGATAAAGCCCATGCATGCACTTGGGAGGGTCCACTGGAGCCCAATAGTCATACTCACTGCAGTGCTTGGATCGAGCTGGTTTCCTTAAGTCACAAGTAGAACACCTTGCATTCTTTGGAAACATAACTTCATCAAATTCATAAACTTGAAGAAATAATAATTCATTTTCTTTTGTTATGGTGCCTGAAAAAGATAAGGACGAATGCTAGTTTCAAGCAATATGTAGGTGGGATAGTCACAAAGCCTGTCCCAATACAACAGAACTAAAACTGCTATATTTAATATTTTAGGTAATTCATTTTTTATATCTGCTTTGACATATAATCCATAGATTCAATTCAAAGTATACAACTCACTGGTTTTTAATATATTCAGAGTTATACAATCATTATCATAATCAATTTTAGAATACGATCACGTGAAAAAGAAACCCATTAGCAGTCACTGCCTACTTCTAAGGTCCCCAGGCCCTAGAAACTGCTAATCTATTTTCTTTCTCTATGGATTTCCTTTTTTGGATCTTCATATAAATGAAATCATATAATTTATGGGTTTTTTTTTTTTGTGTGTGTGTGTGTGTTTGTGTGTCTGGCTTCTTTCATCAGCATGTTTTTATGGTTCAGACAAGTTAGAGCCTGAATCTATACTTCATTCTTGTTCTGCTTTGCAGTGCTGCAGATGGAACCCAGGGCTTCTCTTATGGTAAGCAAGTGCTCTACCACTGGCTCCCACCACAGCTTCTAGTCTTTTTTATGGCTGAATAATAGTCCATTAAATGGGTTTATCACATCTTTTCACATTCATCACTTAATGGACATTTGGTGTTTCAAGGACCTTAAAGTATAAAAGTAAAACAATAGGACAGAAAAAAAATTACTAAGCACAGTGTAATAAAATTAAAACCAGACAAAAGAGACTTGAGAGCATAGAGCATTAGCTGTGATAAAGAGGCTTGATTTATTATGAAAAAAAAGACTGAAAGATTGTGAAGTATTATCCACAAGGAAAGGATAATACCAACTCTAAACATGACAATGTATTTAGTAAGAATATATATGTGCATAATAGTTTTAAAATATTTAACAAACTATGAAGAAAAGCCATCAGAATGAGATAACATTGCTCTGAGAAACTACTTTAAAAAAACTAGTATGGATATAAAAGTTTTGAACATAATTAACAAACCTGATATAATACGACTCTTGTTGAATACAGTGGTACATACCTATAATCCCAGTGACTTGGGAGGCTGAGATAGAAGGATCACAAGTTGGAGGCCAGCCTCAGCAACTTAGTGAGGCACACAAAAACTTAGCAAGACCCTGTCTCAAAATTTAGAAAAATAAAATAAAAAGAACTGGGGACACCATTTAATGGTAAAGCATTCCTGGGTTCAATCCTCAGTACAAAAAAACAAAACAGGGGCTGGAGTTGTATTCAGCAATAGAGCGCTTGCCTCGTACATGTGAGGTACTCCATTCAATTCCCAGCACCACATACAAATAAGCAAATAAAATAAAGGTCCATCAACAACTAAAACAAACAAACAAACAAAAAAGCCAAAAACTTAGAAAATACAAACTTTTTTCAAGCACATATGGATCATTACGAAAACTGACCACATACCCAAGCATAATGCAAGTCTCAAAAAATTTTTAAAAGGGAACATTATCATACTAAACCTATGTTCTACACATATACAATCAACCAAAAATAAGATATACATAAAGAGTTCTAAGTAACCCTTCGGTCAATGACAAAATAAAAAACTGGAAATATGCCAGGTGCTATGGTGCATTCCTGTAATCCCAGTGACTTGGGAGGTTGAGGCAGTAATACTGTAAGTTCAAAGCCAGCCTCAGCAACTTAGTGAGGCACTTAGCAACCCTGTCTCTAAATAAAATATTTTAAAAGGGCTGGGAGGGCTGGGGTTATGGCTCAGTGGCAGAGTGCTTACCTGGCATGTGTAAGGCACTGGGTTCCATCCTAGGCACCACATAAAAATAAATAAATAAATAGATAGATAAATAAATAAATAAATAAATAAAAAGGGCTAGGGATGTGGCTCAGTGGTTAAGCACCCCTTGGTTCAATCCCTGGTACAAGGAGGAAAAAGAAAAAACTGGAAATATAAAGTTAATAAACCCATGACACACAAAATCCTTTGCAAACTTCTCAGAGAAACCACTACTTGTTTGCAGCACTATCAGTAAAATAGTTGAGCTGTCTCAGTCTGTATGCTAAGAGCCTCAACTTACCAGGATTGGTTAAACAAGTTAGGGTGAAGAAAATCAGGCATATAATTAGCAACAGATACGGCAGAAGAAGGTAATACAGAGAGAATTCCAGCTCTTGACAGTAGCCAAATATTTCCCAGGTATATTCAGTATAAACTGTCCCTTGCAAGACCAGGTGCAGGATAATGAAGGCATGGTTGCTGAAAGGAAACAAGCACAGCTTATTCATAGGGTTGCTCCATTAAGAAACTGTACAAAAGGAAAAAAACTAACCAAGGGCCAACCATGTCCTTTAAAAATTAACTAAGAAACCATTCCACTCTTTAAATATGTATTTTAAAGTAGATATTAATATCCCAGAGACAGAAGGCAGATTATCCATGAGTAGAGAGGCTCTGAACCCAGCATCCTTCCCATGCTGGAAACCACAGGAGCTTCCTGTAGCTACAGATTAGCAACAATTAATAATCAAGACAAAAACAGAGGATCCCATTTGAACTCTGAACTGTAAATACCGTGTATGGAAGAGGTAATGAAGCAATTTTCTCACGGCTCTCTGAATGCATTCTGGAATTATACAGGAACATATCTAAAATTTAAAAATTAAAAAAAGTTCAATTTCATTTCTCACCACCACCCCCATTCCCACAATTTCAATACTCCACATACAACTGGCAACTTGTTTCCTCCTATAGGTAGTAAAACAACTTAAAAGAGAATTTTTAAAAGAGAGAGTGAGAGAGCGAGCGAGTGCGCGCGCAGGGCTTCCTTCTACTGGCTTGCCTTTGATGCCAATTCTTTCACTCCTACCCTGATCCCAAAGATGAAACCTGTCAGGTATACCTTCATGGAAAGAAAGGTAAGCAGAGGTTCAGGAAATGCTGATGTGAAGGCTGCTCCTTCCCCTGCCCTGGATTCAGTCCACCCCCAGATCACCAGTAGCCTAGGTCCCTCCCACATCAACCTCTTCCCATGAGCAGCTTGCCCCAATTTTGCTCACTTTGACCCTTAATGGAGAGAAGGCAGACAGAAGCTCAGCTTTCAGAGCACACATCCTCAGTTTCACCTATCAAGTACCTCCAGAAGAATTCTGCTCATGTCTATGCCCAATTACAGGCATCACATCCAGAATTTAAGAGCCAAACTTAAGAATGCTATCTTATCTCAGAGCATCATCACAAGATTACTTTCAGCAGTAACAAAAACAAAACAGATAAACTGTGGAATACACTAAAACTTCCATAAATGAAAGACTAAATAAACCAATGAATTTAAATGGCATCTCTTTCTTGTCCTGTTGAGAAACCAGTAAGTCCTTTAGATTAGGGCAATGTTCAAATTTGAGTGTTACCTGTGCTCCTCCCTGGACCAGACCTTTCAAACGGTGGGTTTTGGAGCAAATGCAGACCATAACAACACTAACCAGCATGAACACCAAGTAGAACAAGAAGAGAATCAGGAAGTCCATCATGGTGGCTGTAAAGGAACAGAAAGAGTATGACTAGCTACTACTGAGGGATTTACATTATGGTACACATTCTCAGACATCAACTCCAGTTCTCAAAACAGAATTCCCTGCCCTCAGGCACATGCCACAGAGCCCTACTACTTTCACTGGGGCCTCTTAGATCATCCTGAGCTCTCTTTTTCAAGATGAACACTGTGGCCTGCCTTTGGGGCATTTCCTGCCTGCAAATTCCAAGATAAAGTGAAGAAAAATGTGGGTACACCTTCCTTTCCCACAATAACAAATCTTTCTTTTACTTCCTTAAATATTCATATAGATACTGATACAGAAAGTACTCCCCAAAATCTGATAACAACATCATCCAAACAGGTAGCTCCTGGAGGAAGTCAGGGGGCCTATACCCAGCACCAGGCATCATGTTCTATGAAGTACCCCTTCAGATCAGTGACCACAACTCTCAGGGATCACACATAGGAAACAATATATGGACCTGTGTTAAGAAACTGGAAGTGGTTACTTTGGCTCTTGGCAGACAGGATTCTGGACCGGGATTGAAACTTGAGATAATCAAACTAGAAATTGTTCATGATATGACAAGGAACGAAAAGCAGCAATTCGCACTCATGAAGTAATTCACAGTCTCCCGCCTACATATTTCTGTTGGTTGTATGCTTTCTCAGCTGGTGGCTCGGGCATTCCTCTTTCCAAACATCCACGGAGACTTAAGGTGGCAGATCCGCTTCGCAAGTGGTGTGCCCCTGGTACAACAGGCAGCATCCAAAACTGCAGGAGCCGTGGTTCCTTCAGGAGGTCGGATCGGACTGCAGAGACAGATGGGTTCAATATTCGCATATTGAGATAAGTGTTGGAGTTGGCAGCGGAATGCATTGTGGAAAAGGATTTGCAAGTAGGGGATGTTGAGCCCCCCGAGGCGTGAACGACTTATAATGACTTCTGAAGAAACAGCTAATTAGGAAAAAATAGGCCGGGAGCCTTGGGTCTACCCCTCGTTATCCCTACCCTTGAGGCACCCACGCTGGAGGCCAGGCAGAGCGAGGCCAAGAACTCTCTATCCGAGGCTCCCAGGCCTGGCCCGAGCTTTCCCCGGATGCCGGAACCTGCGTAGGGGGTAGGGGGAGGCAGGTGGCAGCAGGCTCGGAAGCGAATTGTAGCAGGCCGGGCAAGGACAGGTGAGGCCCGGGAAAGGGAGCAGGTGACAGCTGACTTGGAGGAACGCAGGGAGCAGCGGTTGGAGGAGACACGGGGGCGCCCGGGCGGGATGGAGATAGCACTGAGGCACTCTCACACACCAGGGAGAGGGGGAAGGCTCAAAAATGGGGACCGAAGACCCTGAGCAAGCAGGGGTGACAACCCCGCAGAAGCAACCTTACCCCCAGCCTCCACCACAAAGCCGGGACCAAGCCGGCGCCCTCAGGAGACTTCCGGCAAACCGGTGACGTCATCGCAGCGCCCCCGCCCCACAAGGCTTACTTCCGGCGGAAGTAGGAGCCGGAGGCCGTGGGTTTTGGGGTTGCGGGATTTGGTGCCGCCAGGAAGTGGGATTTTTGGAAACTGTCTGCAGATTTACTAGAGGACCGTGATGGGTCTGACTCGGGAGGATACCGCGGCTGGGAATCGGGCCGGGCCGCCGCAACCGTGGCCCGGGTCCTAGCCGAGCAGGGGGCCCAGAGCGGCCGCGCTTTGAAGACTCCTGTCCTATTACCGTGCCTTCGCGGCGGACTGCTTGCTCATAGCCAGCATCACCGTTAGGATCTTTCCGAACCATTCCAGCATCTTCCACCGCAGAAGGCACACTATGTGACCGCCTGGGTCATAGTCCGCTCCTCGAGCATCCCTGCTTCTGCTCTCTGTACAGCTCTGAGCATCCTCCCCCTGGAGGCAGTGACTAGTGCTTGACCGGAAGCCTTGAGGATGAAAGAGAAGGCTGTTTTGATGATAGTCAGTCTTGGGGCGAGAAGAGCTGCTTCCAAACATAGCATGGAGAAGGCCCCTGTGGAGTGTTCCTTAGCTTCCAAATCCGCTGAGAACCGTCTATTCTTGATACCTTTGAAAACCTGAGCCAGGATGGTTCTTCCTTTGAGGAGAAATATCTGGTCTCCAAACACTGGGCTCAAAGCTCTTTTCCTGTTTGTCTTTGCTGCCTGACCCAGCTATTTAATTTCCTCCCCCCCACACTTCTACTTTTTTTTTTTTTTAAGAAAAAAATTTACCAAGCTGCGCACCTATTGAATACATTATATTCAAGGCCTTGACCAAGTAATGGATAAAGCTTAATCTCACATCCAGAGTTCGGGCTGGATTTCATCCGTGTCTCCAGCTGATTTCACCCTGTTGGTTAACACTGAGCTAATATCTGGTGGTTTAAAAAATTTTTTTTCATTTTTGCTCATAAATGCAGAACTTTATTTTTTATCCCTTTTTCTTTTCTCTGCATGGCTTCAGTTCAGACTTTGAATCTTGATCTGATCACCTATTGTATTTTGTGCTGTGCTGCCTTCCTTTAATTTAAAAAAAATGTATTCAAGTAATACAATATATTCTTCCCGTGAAAGAGTCGAAACTATCTAAAACAAATACATGGGTGTGTGTGTGTGTGTGTATATATATATATACACACACGTGTGTATATACATATATGTATATATAGTACTTCTACTTTATTACTGAGTATTTCTATTTACTTACAAAAATATGAATTTTATTCACTTATAAGGTTTACATAGTTGTAATCAGTGTGCACAATTTTGAACTTTGATTTTTTATTTATAGTTTATCACAAGTATTTTTCATCTAACAAAGTAGTTTTGTTTATTACTCAGTTACAGTATAATGAACTTAACATTTTCTTATTGTTGGACATTGTATTATTTTATACTTTTTAATGTTATGGGTAGTTTACAACTAGCATATTTACAGTCTTTTTATTGGGGGGGGGGAGGGTGCTGGGGATTGAACCCAGGGCCTTGTGCATGCAAGGCAAGCACTCTACCAAGTGAGCTATATCCCCAGCCCATATTTACAGCCCATATTTACAGCTTTTATTTGTTGATTTTTAATTTATTTTTCAGTGCTAAGAACCAAATCCAGGGCCTCACACATGCTAGGCAAGCACTACCACCAAGTTACATCCCCAGACTGATAGCTTCCCAACCCCTCTCTTGGGCTAGTGCTCACCTAGCATGTGCAAGGCCCTGGGTTCGATCCCTAGAACTACAAAAATAAAAGCAAACAAAAACTTAAGATGAATCTCTCAGTGGTTGGTCAGTTCCTGAAAATCATGTACTTCTAGCATTTTATTTTTCCTTTCTGTTCTTCAAAACCTCCAATCACAAATATTAAGGCCTGTATTTCATAAGTAGAATAGAAGAAAGCACACCAAGCCTAAAACAAAAAATTTAATTCAAGTGTGATAGGAAGGATTGTATCACCTTTGATGCATGTGGCAAATAATCCCTCTTAGGAGCATTCCTGAACCTTCCTGTCAGCCCCTGAAACTGAACCTGTGGTATCAGTTTTTTACCTGCTGCAAGATCAGTTGACAGGATCAATCACCTTTTACACCATGCTCTCTTCTCCCCAAGGGAATGACTTTTCCAATACTTTGGAAATGGGATACAGGACTTTAGCGCTGCTCCTTTACAGTGATTTGTTAGTGGTGAGAATTTTGCAACAGAGAAACAAAGAAGAAAAAAGAATTGCAAGGAAAGTATTTTTGTTGAAGGGCAAGAACTGGATTGTGTTGGCTTACTATTATGCCAGTAGTAACTATTTTAGTGCCTAGATCATAGTAGATACTCAATGTGTTGAATGAAAGAAAAAGGGTAAATCACACTGGAAAGAAATCTGTGTCTTAGCTAATACTAAAAGAAAAAGTGCTCTGGCCAGTAGGTGGCGCGACAAGTGTCGCTGTTAACTGACTTGGAGCACATCATATGGGTACCCAATTCACACTTTAGAATTCCCACTTGCCATTGCTACTGTGATTTCTGTCCCTTAAAGCACTGTGCTCAGGCACCTCTGGAAGGGAGTGGTCAGGGCAGAATCTCCACTGCCTGACTTATTTCTGAACTGGTCTGAACTGGCACAGCTCAGTGTTCTTTGGTCATCAGGCTTCCTGACTTCCAGTCAAGGACCTTTTTCTTCTGCCCATGTGGCTTTAAACCAGTTTCTCCACCTCTCTGAGCCTTGGTTTCTTCATTTTAAAGTCAGGATAAGAGAATCTACCTCAAAGGGTTGTTACGAGGGTTAAATAAGATAATGCACCTAAAGGAAATTCAATAAATATTGACCATAATATTGTAGATGCAATCCTCAACATTAACAAATATGATCAACACAGAAAAACAAAGCAGAAAGTAATTCTGGTGCAAGATATTTGGCATATCAAGACACTTTGTGTTATCAGTAATAGTAAGCCCAACTCAATCTGGACTAAATAACAAATAAGACTTATTGTCCTCTGCCACAGGAATGCCAAGAGACAGGGTGACTTCAGGAATGGTCTGAGTCAGTACTTAATGACATCATCAAGAACAGAGCTGTTTTTGTTCCTCACTCTGCCAGTGGAGTATCAACTCCATCTCCAAACCAGCCTTCCTCCTGGTGGTAAAATAGCTGCCAGTCACCATTGTGACTTCATGCTTCCATACTCATATCCAATGAAGGGAGAATGGGAGGATGTCTACCCTAGCATTCCAGATAGGAGTGCTCAGATTAATTTTGACTGGACTGTCTTGGGTCAAAAAGGTTTACTCCTGAACCAATGATAGAGTCAGAAAATGGAATGTGCCACTTAATGTGAGTTGAACAAGGTCCCCTGCTGTATCTGCAGGGAAGATAGTTTCTCCCACAGCACATGAGCTGCTCAGGGAATAGGAGAATTTCAGAAAGGCCTGGATGATACTAGGAAGAAGCATGCATTCTGCATAGGCCATTGATAACTGGGCATCTAACAAGTTGTGATGTCTGGAACGATGAGAGAAATATGTCAAAAAATGTCTCCCAAAGTTAAGATTAAGCCCTGTATGGATAAAGGCACAACATCGAAAATGTGGAAAGCTCTGGGGCCCAGCAGTAACTTGTTAGGTGTCCTTCTCTTCCCAGACTCAAAGGCAAATCTATTAATAAAATCCCTTCCTGGCAGCCACCTCCTGGTGCAGATTCAAGGAAATGTGCCTTCAAAGGCAGGGGAAAGAAATTTTATCCACAAAGCTGCAGTCGCACAGTGGTCCAAGGTCACCCCCAGAGGATGCAATTCCTTAGGAGCAAGAGAATGTAAAGAGAGAAGAGGTGGAGGTGCTCCAAGCCCACAGAGTACAGGAAAAGAGGATGGCAAAGAAGACCAAGTTCAAATTGTCAAAGAAGTAGGAGAACCAGGGGAGAGGGGCACTGTGGAAGCCAAACAGAAGAAATCCACTCTGATCTCTCCAGGGAGGTGCAAACAGGTGAGAGCAATGGGAGGGGCTAGTAGGAGCCACCCATGGACTCCAAGAAATGTCCCCAGGGGACTGCAAGGTAGCCTGCCATCCTGCCCTGATGATGACTGTAGACTAACCTACCAGGTTCTAAAGCTACCTTGACCACAGGAGTCAGGAGGAGCAATGTTGTTTGCTACATTTATTTACATCACTTTGTCCAGGCATGATTGGGGGTGTCTTGCACAGACACAGAAAATAAGATAAAACAACTTTAAAGTGAGTGGAGGGCAGAACAAGACAAAGGGAGAATTCAAGTAAGAAACACAAGGTAAGCCAGGAGCTGATCCCACTCTATGGAGGAAGTTAGATGCTCAGAGAGGCCAACATCAAGGTTCATGGACCAGCACCGGACTGTGAGGTAGGTGATAAATGAAACTTGGTTATATGAAATCACTGAGATTGGAGGCTGTTTGTTACAACAGCTATCATTATGATGCTAATACACTACCCAAGTTGGTGGTAGTGAAAGCGATAGCACAGCCCAGTGCCACCCATCAAGCCTGCCCTCGAAATGCCATTATGCCATTGGTCAACCTCAGCTCAGTCATGGGGATGGACAATCATCTGGAACAACCCCTTCCCCCACTCCTGCAGACTGTCACACCCACCCTACCCTTGTCATCAAGGTTGTAAGGGTACAATGCAGACATACAGAGATCTGGGCAGGAGTACATGACTGCAATATATAAATCCTCACTTTGGACTCCATCTCCTCATCCCTGAGTGGCTGGATATGTCGGGGGAGACTTGGCAGGGAGAGGAGAGACACCAGCCAGTTTTAAGCCAACGTCTGGGTTTTCCCAATCAATCTCTGTCTGCTTTCATTCGCTTTCCTCAGACAGTCTCTTTCCAGTGCCCTCAACACATCCTGAATGAAGGGCCTTTAGCCATATTCAGATAAAATTTTACTATGGCAGGCCATTAGTCTGCTGAGGCCATCATAACAAAATACCACAGA